CTGCGGTGCAGCCAGTGAGCGCGCCGGCTGCCGCCTCTGCCCTTGCCCTGGGGTCCAAGTGTGAAGGACCAAGACTGGCCTGTGACAGCTGGTGACGTTGGGTACTCTCACCTGGGCTCTAAAGCTCTGCCACAGCACACAGACCAGTCGATACTTTAGTCATGTAGCTGTAAACAAGCACCACTAAAGCCCATCTCACTTGCTCACATTAACTGAAATTAATGTTTTTTACAGTTATTAATACCATTTCTCCAAGTTTGCAACAGGCTACATCATAAAAACAAAGCTGATTGCAGCAAAGGTAGGAGGCAGAACTTGAAATCTTTTACTCATTAAAAAACCCACAACCATTCCAGACAGAAAAAAAAATAATAATAAATGAAGGAATTGCCAGCATGATGCCACATCATCTGAACGTGACACTTCTGTGCCACCATCAGACACCTGGAAATACTCCAGACTTGTACACAAACAGGGATGGGAATGTATCTGAAGGCTGATTTGAAATGGATGATGCCCAATATCTCAGGATGATCATTCTAACAGAGCCCCCCCCCCGCCCCCCGAGCCTGCAGGGAAAGGAGTATCATATTTGAGGCAAATATGCCAAACAATGAGGCGTTTTGTAACTGTCAATGTTTAAACGTGGATTGGAACCTACAGCCAAGGAGATATGTCCACGTTGGCTGCCATCTCTGTGAGATGAGATGGATGAGAACGTACGAGAACATCTTTCACAGTAATTTTGCAGGTACAAGGACAACGCAAAGGACACCCTTCCCGAGGAGGAGGGACGTTTACCATCCCAAGGCACGTAACTTCAGGAAGCTCTTCTGGCGACAACTGATTTTTTGTGAAAGGGCTGTTGCCCTGATCCCACTGTTACTCTGAATGCAGAGAACAGCAGAGAGCCCAACCCAGCCCTGTGAAGGTAAAAATCACTAATCTGGACTGGAGCACGGCGAGGACTTGCCTGCTTCACCCATTCAGAAAAAAAAACTAAACCAAAAACCACCCAGCTATAGAGCACAAAATCCCACCCAATGAATACAACTCACCCAAATGTGGTGTGCACTAGAATTAAAAATGTCAGTCTTATGGTTTTTGGAGGCTGGATTTGGTACCAGGCACAGTGAGATGACACAGGCTCGATGTGGATCTGACTGAGAGCAGGCGGGAGTACAGCATTCAGCTTCCACTGGGAAGCAGCGGGGCATAAAAAGGTACCAAAACCGACCTCAGGTAAGATCAGAAGCATTTCAGCCTCAAATGGGAAGATTTGTGCTGGTTAATTCTGTGTGCACGAACGAAAACATCAGTGAGGTTATAACTGTGCTTTGGGACCCTTCCCCACAAACCCTTCCCTCCCTCCAAGCAAAAGGGTGAGTTTGCAGAAGGAAACCCTTCACCTCCCGCCTCTTTCTGCACGTTAACTCCTCAGGAACTTACCCACAAACTGTGAAATTCTCCTCAGTGGCTCCTTTCATTGCAAAATACATCATCAGGGTCACTTCTAGTTACACAGGAAAATGCTGATGCATTATGTTCTGCCTTTGCATCCTCCTACCTATCTACTCAAAGGACACTCCTGCCCTGCAGCACAGCTGGGCAAAGGTTTCACTTCTGCTTCCTATTTAAACCAGATTCTTAAACTTGCAAACAATAAAAGAGCAGTAAAGGCCGGGGATATTTTTATAGGGCCATTCTCAACTACAGCATCCCCAGAGAAATCCGTTTCCCTACGTGCTTTCCACACGACATGTCTCTGTGTGATTTGTAAACTCTGCAGTTCACAGGAGGGGCTCATCCAAAGCAGCACTCAGAGGAAAGTAGAGTTTGGAGGACAGTCCATCTTGCTCCAAAAGTCAATCTCCTCTGGCAATAAATAGTTGAGTAGCTCAGGTCAGATACTGCACGACGAGAAACATAATTACACAAGTCAAAATCATTCCCCCAATCATGAAGTATTTATCTTGAAAGGCTCGTTTCTCAATCAGCCGCATCACTGTATTGGATAAACCCAACATGTTGGCAACATCCAGGATCTTCTTGTGAGTCCCCTAAGGATAAAAAAGACAACAATTAATCTAATGATCCAACTCTCCTTATTCCACAGTCCAATAATATTTCATCACAGGTGGAAAATCATAGAATCATAGAATGGTTTGGGTTGGAAAAATGATGAATTCTGATCAATGGGACTTGCTATGAGCCAACAGTTCCTACAATTTAACAGGAGATGGCCACAGGACCCTGGAAACAGCTAAATAATTAGACTAATTAATACACATACAGGAACAGGAATCTGCTTAAAGATACAAAACAATCTGAATGGACATAGACATCATAAAGAGTGGCTCAGAGAAAATGCACTTCCTACAGAGGAATCAAGAGTCTCTGGTCTGGTCCTTTTTCAGATACACGGTCTAATAAGAGCTTGAAACTTAGAGAATCATCAAATAATTTGGTTGGAAAAGACCTTTGAGATCAAGTCCAACTGTACCTGTCCACTACTAAACCAGATCTCTGAGCTTGATCAGACATTTCTTGCAGAACTTC